GATGTGCTGGCCGCTGCTTCCCGCAGTCCCCATTGGCCTGGAGCAGCAAACCGCGGCCAGTGGGAGCTGCGATCAGCCGAACTTGCGGACGCGGCAGGTAAACAAACGGGCACAGATCGCCGGGGGCTTTCCCCGAACAAGCGGCGGCCCGACTTTGAGAAGCACTGCATTAGACCATCAGTCCAACTTCTGCCACTTCCCTTGATGTGTGACTTAGCCCACATGCCTTTTCCCTTCACTTCTGTTTATTTCCACTCCTATTGTACATTACACTTATCAGATGTGCCCACAGCAGAGGTTTCATTGCATATGAATTGTGCTGGGTATTTCTGCTGCTCCTGCACACAGTACTCTCCTAGTGGCATCCACCAAAACTGCATGACCACTAAGGGGACATGGATCCTTATCAATTTCAATCTATGGGAAATTATAAAAGCACCTGCAAAAATTCTTAAGAAGAGAGACAAGGCATGCCCAGGCCCAAGGGATGGTATCATGCTAGACATGTTATGGGATTAACAACAATCCCATGGTACTTTTTGTACAAATAGACTTTTGCCCTGGTATCCCTTCTCCCCACTGTAATGCGGAGTGTTGTACACAGATCAGCTGCTGCCTACTTCTCCAGAGGCATCTGCATATAAAACGTGTAAACACTTTGGGGTGAGAGGCATGATAAAACAATTAATTAAAATCATTCCTTCTCCCCTCCTCATCCCCTACATCTAACTAAGTCATAGCCTGAAACTGAAACCTCTTTCCTTACTAAAACAACGAGGAGTCCTTATGGCACCTTAGAGACTAACAAATTTATTTGGGCATAAGCTTTCATGGGCTAGAACCCACTTCATCAGATGCATGGAGTGGAAAATACAGTAGGCAGGTATAGATACACAGTACATGAAAAGATGGGAGTTGCCTTACCAAGTGGGGGGTCAGTGCTAACAAGGCCAATTCAATTAGGGTGGATGTGGCCCATTCCCAACAGTTGACAAGAAGGTGCAAGTACAAAAAATAATCCTCTGTTGATACTCGCACCTTCTTGTCAACTGTTGGGAATGGGCCACATCCACCCTGATTGAACTGGCCTCATTAGCACTGACCCCCGACTTGGTAAGGTACCTCTGGGTATGGAAATTGTATGGCAGGCCATGAATGCTCATGAAATTGGGGGTTGGGGTGTGGGAGGGGGTGAGGGCTCCAGCTGGGGGTTCAGGCTCTGGGGTGGGGCCAGGGATGAGGGGTTGGGGATGCAGGAGGGTGCTCCGGGCTGGGACAGAGGGGTTTGGAGGCACGAGGGGAATCAGGGCTGGGGCAGGGGGTTGGGGCACAGGAGGGGGTCGGGATGCAGGTTCCAGGCGTCGCTTACCTCAAGCAGCTCGCAGAAGCAGCAGCATGTCCTCCCTCCGGCTCCTACGCGGAGGCGTGGCCAGGCAGCTCTGCATGCTGCCCCGTCCGCAGGCACCGCCCCTGTAGCTCCCATTGACCGCGGTTCCCGGCCAATGGAAGCTGCAGGGGCGGTGCTTGGGGTAGGGGCAGCATATGGAGCCCCAGGCTGACCCTATGCATAGGACCCAGAGGGGGGACATGCTGCTGCTTCCAGGAGCCGCGCGGAGCGGGGCAAGCCCTGGAGCCCGCTCCCCAGCAGGAGCTCAAGGGCCAGATTAAAACGTCTGAAGGCCAGGATGTGGCCCCTGGGCCGTAGTTTGCCCACCCCTGGACTAACACTGCTACCCCTCCGAAACCTGTTTCCTTACTGACTTCTTTTCCCCCACTGAATACTAGCTTATTATTGTAGGTATCTAATAAGAGCTGTGGGCAATATATATTTGGAGGGGGATACGGTTTGGGAAAAAGGAAAGGGAACAGCAGTTGTTTGTGGGAAATAAAGCAGTTGAAGTTTAAGGACTCTCACCTCTCAAAAGCAGCATATTTCATGCTGATCTGAAAGTCCCATGTTTGGAAAGGAAGCAGCAAGTATTTCTTTGTACTGCGATAGCACCTAGCAAGCCCAGTCATGGACCAGGACCACACTGGGCTACGCACTGTACACAGAACACAAAGAAGGTCCCTGTTCCACAGAGCTTACAATGTAAATAATTGAGTATTTGCTCCCATTGAAGTCAATGGCAAGACTCCTATGGACTTCAATGAAAGTAGGAACTGGCCCCGGGAGAAGTGCAAAGAAGGTTAGTACCAGCTACAGAACTTCAGAAACAACTAGTGACTTACCAGCAACTCCCCTTTCTCCTGATGATTTTGGTCCGGCTCTTCACTTTATAAGTGGAAAGTGCAGCATCGTTGAAAGATGACTTCAACCCACCATGACCGATGGATGCGTTGCTTAGAGTCTGAAGGCCAAGGTTGGCTCTGGAAACCTGGGAGACTCCAGCCTCCTTTCGTCCCTCAGACTGCCACCTGAACACTGACTTGGAAGCTGAAGAAGGTGGCTGTAGGCTGGATGCTTTCCATTTGTATTTACTAGGAGAGGCATCCAGCTTCAAATGCACTCCGGATTTCTTCAGCTTTGCTCCCAAGTCCCCCTTTGGCAGTGGCTTAGCAGTTCTCTCTGCTCCCACAGAAAGCTTCCTAGTGCTTTCAGAAGCTCTAGGGCTGGTCCATCTCTTTACAGCACGAGGGCATTTACTAGGATTTGCTACCCACGTATAGTTGGTTTTCCTGAACTTAGAAGCTTTACTGGAGACTGGCGTTGAGGCAGCTCTTTGGAAACTGGGGAGCTTGTGTGGTACTGCAAACTGGTTCTTCACTGGGTTTATCCCAACCTCTGAAGTCACAGCCTGAAGTGAGCTTGTGTGTGCCTCAGATTTTCCAAGGGTCTTTGGCTCCTTCAAAGTATCTCTTCCTGCCGTGACTTGCTCTGAACTACAGTGAGATGGAACGTGTGCTACTGGCTTCTTCCAGGCTACCAACCAGCCTGATTCTCGATCAGGAAGTGCTGAAGGCTGTTGAGGCTTGGATTTTAATGCTATGGCACTTTCACTGATAACGTCACGTAACTCAGGGGCACTTTTAGCCAGTTTCGCAGTCCGAAGTTTGCCCAGTTCCTTTGCATATGCTGGGCTTGCGTCATCTCTGCCTCCAGCAACAGCAGGCTGGTGCAATGAACTCTGGGAGACAGAGAGAGACGTTTCTTTGTCCTCTTTTTGAGCAACACTTTGAAAGCTAGAACTTTCATGAACCTTTTCATTTCCCTTTGGAGCAGCTATGGCTGCTTTCATCCCAGAGGAACTCTGCTGGGATCCCAACTCACTAACGTTTCTATTGTCCAAGGCTGAGCTAGTCCTCTGTGGCAGTTTGACTCCTATGACTATACCACCTGTTGCTAAGCCCACTTGCCTTTCCGAGCCTGTTCCCTGTGGCCCAGGAGGCTGGTTATTCCTTTGGCTCACAAAAGCCTGAAGTGTGTTAGCAGATGCACTGCTTCCAGGATGATGTGTTGATGCAGGCGGTCTGTTTACAAGGGAGTATTTTTTCCTCCAGGAGTTACCTTGAGGTGATTGGAAATCCCTTGGAGCTTGCTGAGAATATCTTGCGGTGAATGTTCCCTGACTGTTGAAGGCAGTCTGCCTGGGATTTCTCCACCTTGGAGTCCTGGAGGGCGGGGGCACTGGTGCATTTCCATGGATGTTTTTATGGTCATTTATGAGACCTGAAGAAAGCAAAACAACCTCTGTTAGTTGCATCTTCCACAACAGTCTTGCAACAGCAAGTTATGCAAATTGATTGTCTTCACGTTGCACTGAAAACACCTGTTCTACATGAGCTCTCATGCTCAGTAGGTTTCAGACATCATCACGAATGCTGGAAGAAAAGCTGAGCTATGTAATGATTACAGATTTCTTATTGTGGATCTTTACATAGCAATCGAATACTGCATCATCCCACTTTCTGGCCCTGGTTAGTTCCTCTTATATGCACCAGTCTTGAATTCACTACTCTGATCATTGTTCCTGTAGATCACTTGTGGTGAGAGTGGCGGTAGGAGGGAGGACAGACAAGAAGGGGAGAAAACTTACTGCTTATTTCTTTTATAGGTATCTTTTTAGCTCTCACCATTGCATCTCTGAGCCCCTTTATAGTGGAGATTGCCTAGCAACCCTAACCTGATCCCTGCTCATATACAGCACAATATAGTCCCCTATAGAGGTGCTTATTATTTGGTCTAGGAAAGGAAGGGTAGACTTATTATTAAAGCAAGAGACTAAGAGCCAGGAGGCTTGGGATCTAATCCCATCTCCACCACTGATTAACAATGCAAGTGAGTCACTTGGGCAAATCACTTCATGTCTCTGTGCCTCAATTTCCCTATTAACAATAATATGGATGAATATGCTTCCAGGGGTAGAGGGATTGCGAGACTTGTAAAATATCAATATTTATAAAGCACTTTGGGATCTTCAGATGAAAGGGGTTAACAAAGGACTATATCTGAGCCCCGCATTATTACGAGGGATCTCTGTGTGCTTTAATGAAGAAAACAAGTTTTTCCTGCTGCCAAAAACTAGACCACATAGCTGCAGAAAGGCAACATAAGCTGACCTGCCAGCTAAACTCCCTGCCCACAAACTGCTCCACTGATGTTGAAATGTATTTCAAAATCCAGCAGCAACAAGACACACATCAAAACACAAATAAAATCTCATGACTTTTTCTGCTGCTCTTCATTCCACCCCCCAGAACCACACTTGGTCTGTATTACATCTAATAAAATTATGAGATCCCCAGAGCAAGGACCGAGTCATCTTACTTGCGTGTACAGCTCTATGCATGCCTGTGGTGGTGCAAAATTAGTGATAAGAGACCAGGTGTATCTGGTTGTGTCCAACTCAGACAGTACTGGTATGTCTACACTGCAAAGAAAAATGTGTGTTGCAGTGTCTCAGAGCCTGGGGCTAAAAACAACAGTGTATATGTTCAGGCTCCGGCTGGAGCCCAGGCCCTGAGACCCACCCTCCTCACTGGGTTTCAGAGCCCAGGCGGGAACATTGACACTGCTATTTTTAGTCCTGTAGTATGTGCCCAAGCTGGCCTGGGCTCTAAGACTCACTGCTACAGGGTTTGGGGTTTTTTGTTGTCTAGAGGTACCCTCGGTCAAAGATAAGAGCCCTGACAGAGGGGAGAGCACAAGTGGATTTGCAGGACCCAAGGTGGGGTTTCTAGCACTGCAAATTAGAAAAATCAACCTTGCAACCCACAAAGCAGGGCATCCCTCAGCGCAGGCATGGGATCTCAGCTGGTGTCTTTCCCCAGGAACTAGACAAGGTCACACAAACAGGTCCCAGCCTCTCTGCAAAGGGCCTGAGAGGCTGGGGGAGCCTTTTAGGGATCCCAGGGGAGGCAAGGAAGGTGCCCAGTCTTTGCACCACAGCTCAGACTGAGGGGCCACAC